GAAATGATCATGCAGACAATGGACCCCGGACTAGGTGCATTCCAATGAGTCTTCCTACCAATATGACCATATTGCGAGAATAATATTTTTACTTACTCTAGGTCGTCGTATAAGGTTATGTAGGGACTTTTTGTGGAATGTTCTACAATGAAATAAGTAAACCGCATTATACCATTAGATTTCACTTAGCTTTGCGGTACCCAGCCTCTAGGCTGGAAGGAAATCTCAACCTCGCCTGGACCTCATCAGCAATTCCAACGAAATTCTATGCTGGGCTGTTTGCGTAAAGTGGCAGCCCGTTGCCATGACTTATAGGTTCGAAACCTGCTCGCAAAGAATAAACGTGGTGCTCCATATTTAAATAGAAACTGGTATTGCCAAGCCCTTTAACAATGCGGTACAAAAAATGCTGTATCCCCTTGTGAGACCCTGTTAATATGTGGCGGAGTGGTGGCGTCTCGCCAAGTGACGCACACGAGCAGCTATCGAATACCGTTGGGTTGTGCGGACTCAAGCGGACTCGAACCATGAAAATGCAGCGTATAATGTCGACACGTTAGCCACTATGCCACACGGCCTTGAAATTTACATCTGCCCTTTGATCCAAGGGCACTTGTGGTATTGTGGCGGGGTGTTTCACGTGTCGAGATTACACGTTGTATCGTCACTGTTCGAGTCCAGCTGGGGGTGCTGATGAGACTAATGCGAGGTAGAAACTGCAGTACACTTCAGCCTGGATGATAATACCCTTTGGGAAATGAGGTTAAGTAAAATTTAATGAAAAAGTCAGCTCTACTCACATCGTTGTGGAAAAATTCTACTACCGGCTCTTAATCGCCTTAAACGAAATATGGTGGCACATCTCGGATATTCTACTGTCAGTCTTTACCCCACCCTAGGTGATCTATGGTTATTAAGGTTCTTATCAATTAAGTAATGTTAGGTTTCAAACGTCTTCGCTTAAGAACAGGATAGGGAAGCATCAAATGGCCAGCCGGCCATCGTTCTTAATTGGGTTCTTGGTAAAGTCAGATTAAGGTATGGCTTCATGACCTGATGATGTCAGATAAATGGCAAACAAAAGAACCTCCCAAGTGGATAATTGAAGCTGGACTGTGTGTATGACCATATTTCAGCTAAAATCCCTGTCCAGACACTAAGCAGGTCCCCCTTCGCTTACAGATGAGTCAAATTTATGTATCACTCCGATATTCCTTTTAAAATAAACTGAGTTGAAACAAAATGGATTTATACATCGGCCCTTCGCAACCAGGCTTTTCCTCATGTATACAGTTTTGAGGTAACTGTTCTAGCTGCATATTCGAATTGTTGAACTTACTTCCATTTAGAATGAAATTTTTTGGTGGACATATTCGAAAGGATGAGCAGATGAGTTTTCTTGACTCGTTAACTTGAATTTAGTTGTAAGGATGATACCCTGTTCTGATGAAGTTCATCATACGACGGACGTAAGCTTTGCACGTTTTCAGCGGAATCGAAAAAGATTACCTCGGAGATAGCCTCAACAAGAATGTTCCAGTAAAGCATATCGACAGCTGGTCAAGAGGAATCCGCCGTCGTCTTCTGGTGGGATCGACCTTCGAATCCTTAACTAAACACTTTCACTCGAAATGAAAGTAAGGTCAACAATTATGAAAGAGTAGATTCCTCGAAACCAAAATTTCCTTGGTATATGCATGCTCGAAGTCTAGTCCTGATCACAGGGAAACTTGAAATACCATGCACTGTATTGAGTATTCTGTCGTTTTAGTTTAATGTTATTCTGGTATTGCATGTTTGATACCTTGTTTGCATTATTTAGCTGCATAAACCAGGCCTTTCCTATTGAGAAACACCTCTGATTATCATACGAGCAAGGATGATTAAAATGAACTCGAGTGGACTGCTTTTCATCCCAACTTGCAGAGATACCATTGAAAGAAAAACTGTAATTTTTCAACTGTAATATTCTTTTTTGAATCACTATTAAAGTTTGCAAAGTACTTTTAAGCAGTATTCATTGGAGGAAAGTCCTCGTCTTGAAACGCCAAACAATGGCCAAGGCAGGTTTTATTACAAATAGATGAAGCATAAATTCATATGTGACAAAGTGTTCATGTAACCAGGGAATTTGTTTCCCTATTAACCGAGTGATGAAGGACTGATAGTTAAATTTCCTCAAAATGATATGAGCAAGTCTCACGTTTTCACTGGATCTCACATAGCCTTGCATTCCCAAAGGGTATCCTCATCCAGGCTAGAATATAATTTTTACCATCCTGGATATGAATAACTTTTGGGAAGCAAGGTTATGTGAAGTTCACTGGAAGTGTATGGCCTACTTGCATCATTGAGGGAAAATGCAACCACCAGTCCTTCATTACCTTAAACAAAAGAGTGAAAACAGTTCTTATTCAACATCCACTGGTTGTCTCGAAACCCTATTTAGAAAATGAAAATGTCTTGGTCGCTGCAGCCAGAGTCCACATAGTGACAGTTGTTATGGCAACAATGAGTTGATAATCTTTGTATATGCCAGTGGTTTGTAGTATAACTTGCGTCTAGGCTCCTTCCTTTTTAATCATCCCTATCTGTGCCTTCAATCACGACCATTTCCCCTCGGCCCATTTGGCTTCATCTTCACTTTATTTGTGTGAGTTCGAGAGCAACATCGAAAATATAGTTCAAAGTAAGATCTCAACCGATATTTCTTGTATCCAATCAGCACCATTGCTCGAAGGCTCTTTTAGATACATGCAAACCTGCGCATTAATGTTTGGAGGATCTAAATAACCACTCAGTCTGAGCATATCATTCAGGTCATTATTATGGGTTCGGCAGTGCCAAAGATGCGCCTGCTGCCAAAACGGCTACAGCTAAACTCCAGGATTTCTAGCTAGAACATTGAAGATCCTTTACAGAATGGCTCAGAATTAAGAACTCAACTTGGAGTATACAAACCCAGGGGCAATCCATGCATATGGAGCATATAATCATATCACCAATAAAAGGCCTCCCATTTCAAAATAGTAAGTAACCAAACCGAGGTAAGTCACTTATTTTTAAGAAATTATATAAAAGTTGGCATTTTTATAGCATAATTATTCCCCAAATCCAGCCTCATTATGAGCTACATATCGACCATTGCTATATTCTGTGCTTCTTCGGAATAGGTGAATGTCACTCATGTCGGAAGCAGCATTTCTGTGCTGCCACGAGACTCGTTGTCAACCCTGGCCGATGCAATGCCAGGCCCTGAGTTACTCGACATCAACGTGACTGTTTTCGATGGCTCTTCACCTGCCCAGCTGGTGAATTTACGAGATCCATCCCGCCCAGTGCTGAGCTTCCGACTGACTGACCTGAGAAAAGGTCTTATTGCTCTACAGCTGTTGGACTATAATGAAGCCCTAGAAAAGGTGAGCTGGAGCTATTCATGCTCCTCTCATTAAAGTTTTTGTTAAATATTATTTTTTCTTACTTTCATCACTTTTCGCACAGTTTGCTACTCATATACATTGTGAGTAGGTCGAAAAGCTATCATCGCATTGTAAGTAAAATTGTTGAGCTTACTTTCATTTTGAGTGAAAGGACTGAGTGAAAAGATTCGAAGGTCGGTTCCACCAGAAGACGACGGCAGATTTATCTTGACTAGCTGTCGGTTGGCTTTACTTGAAGATTCATGCTGACGCTGTTTCCGAGGTAATCTCAATTGACTCCAGTAGAGCCAATCGACAGCTGCTCAAGAGGAATCCGTCGTCGTCTTCTGGTGGAACTGACTTTCGAATCTCTTCACCCAACCCTTTTACTCAAAATGGAAGTAAGCTCAACAATTATGAAACATGAGATTCCTCGAAACCCAACTTTTTTTCGCATATATTGTAAATAAATCTTTAGGTTATTTAACATAATTTTGATTTCCTACAAATAAAAGAGTTGTCCTCATAATTTTAGCGAATTTCGCGGCACATATGATAAAGCCGTTTGGGAAACCATGCTTTTGAAAGAAGTGAGCCAACCTAGTTTTATCAACTTGGTCATGTTGTCAGGGCGACTTAGTTGGACGCACCCTGCCTAAGTCCTCGACCATAGTAGTTACCACAATTTCCAGCGTCAGACAGTGGATTTTGTACATTGTTAGGTGCTTCGCTGGCATCGTAGTCGGCATCGTTAGTGAGTATTGTCATTCTCAGCACCAAGCTACAAATCTTCAAAGAGAGTCTCTTCAAAGAGTTGTAATTGTCGCCCTGACTACAAGATCAAGTTGTGAAAACGAGGTCAACCTACTGTTTTATATAGAATAGAGAATGTAACCATACTGAGGGCCACACAATCTTACTCTTCATGTCTTCCAATGCTTTGGAAAGTTTGGAAGAGTTGTAATATCTGATGAATTCTTTGTGGGAAGTGCAGTTATTAGTACTGCAATATCTTAAACAACATAAGATAATCAGTTAAACAGCATGCTCAAACGTTGGCTCTGGCTTTTGTTAGATATATAATCCTGAGAGTTACCCGATATTTGTACTGTATGGACGATTGCCATACTCTCGAGCATTACATTAGATGGCGGCGATTCGTATGGCTAAATTGCTGAAGCTCATCTTCACTCTTACCCGAGTATCCTTGACCTGGCCCAACCATTTCCTTCATAGAGCTGCCCGTTATTTTGTAGGAATTCTGGATTCATGGGTTTTCGGACCCTTTACACAACAATTTGGCTAGATTTAACTTAATATTCACAACGACAAGTAAGTTTGTCTACATTTATAGCTTTACAACTTTATACTCCTCTTTTGATTTAGGTAGCCTGCAAATTCTAAATAATGAGGCCATACAAAGACCGTTGAATCCGTTCTTCATGTGAAAGATAAGAGCAACCGAACATTGTCCTCGGAGCAGACATTTCCTTCTCCAAAAAGTTTATTTCGTATATCATTTTATATCATCGAACTCTTGGTGGTTGCCACAGGTGTTGGTCAGGTTCACTTTTTGTGTGACGTTGTCATTCAATAAAAAGAAGTAATAATCTAACCTTATTTGATTAGCCAGCCAGTTTATGAAAGATATTCCGACGTTACTTTATTCGTAGGTCGGCTTGAGAAAAATCATTTGGATATAAAGAAATTCGCTCAAGAGAGATGTGAACCACTTCTGGTTCCAATCTAGATGTAATAAAAGAAATCAATGAAACACTAATGATGAGTTAGAATAAATTCAACAAGTAGTCAGTGAAAATACGTAAAGTCGAAAGTGCATTTCTTCTTCAAATAAGTCATGACGATGGTGACAATTTACCAACCAGCGGCTAGCCATACGCTGCATGATTTGAGTGGAAGTGTGGATGAAATTGAAAGGGTGTGACAGCTGCCTAATATGTAGTGACATTTAAAGTGGCACTATATAATATACATTCATAACATGCTAGGCCATCATTGGCTTTTAAATTTGGAAAAGATATTCAATATGCATATAGAATAGCATATACTATATATCAATGTGAAGTAATTATTATATACTATAAAATTATCATATTGATTTAATACTTCACTAAAATATATATGAATTGTGTTTAACCTATTTCGTCTGAAGGTCTGAAGGTCTGGTAGTTGAAGTGTCCCACAATGATATATGTATCAGTTATGTTTTACAATGAATTCCACATAGACTTGTTTTTCTAAGAGGTGTTCTCATCCAGGTTGAACCCCAAGCGGGAGTCGAACCATGACTTTGGGTGTTGTTAAGACCTATGCGAGGTCGAAACTGCAGCCCACTCTGGATGATAACACCTTTGTGGACAGAAAGGCTATGTGATATTCAATGGAAAACATCAGCTTTACTTGTATCATTGTGGAAAAATTCAACTACCAGTCCTTCATCACCTTAACCAAATTAAGTTGAACACAACTCGCATATCTGATTTGTTGGTAGTCTTGAAAACTCACTTATTTATGAAAAAAGACTAAAATATACTTTTTAGATTATCATAAGCAACAATGCAGTATACAGAATATTCAAAAGTTCATGCCACACATCGCATACTCTTTACGTTGATATTCTGTCCTTTTTAGTCAGACCATACCATGCCATAAGCTACATTCCAACTTGTTATTCTTAAAGGAAACTTAAAGAGTCTGGATACTGTTTGGTGTCAGCTCCCCCATTACTGATAAGAGGTAACGGACTACAACGATATGAGTCACTACAAACTATATAATATTTCCCTTATACTGTAAAATATATACTGCATCATATCCATTCATAGCATACTATTTTAA